ACCCGTCTGCAGAGTCTCCTCTTTAAGTGTTCACTTCAGGAGAAGACAGAGGAGCTGAGGGGAGCCTTTGATTGTATCATCAATGCCTCTATGGAGCTGAAGACCAGCAAGAAACTGGCTAAGATACTAGAGGTACCCCTTTTTTCCGGTGAATTAATCAAAACTGAAAACATGTGGAAATAGGTGTAAAACTTTTGGTAAAACACATTTTGCATAAGCAAAACTCTCATAATTAAGTCAGCTGAAGAAATACTGAACAGGGAAGAAATAATTTACATTGCCTTGCAAAGGGTTTCACATGTTTTCTTAAACATTTTCCAAGTTTTTCATGTTACAACTTCAGACCTCATTGTTTGACTAATTAGCTGTTTACTTGCTCAGATGGCTTCACTGCATCTTATGACTTTATGGAGTAAAACTGGAGCTGAATGGAAATCCTAATCAGATTTTTCTGATCTTTAGATTTAAAACTCTTTCATTTTACAATCCTGTCCTACTTTGAGTTGTGCTATGGAATCCCAATACAATACTTTGAGCTTTGTGGTTGTAATGTGGCTAAATGCAAAAAAAGTTCAAGGAGAGTATCAAAACAGTAAAGCACAGTTTGGATATTCAGTTATTATGAGTAGCTGAGAGGGTATTTTCTTTATCAATTTTCCCTAATGGCATCAATCTTTCATTTAGTTTGTGCTGGCAATGGGAAATTATTTGAATAACAGCCAACCAAAAACAAACAAGACCACAGGCTTCAAGATCAACTTTCTGACAGAGGTACTGTAATTCTAAAACAATACATTTTTGTTTGTTATAGACCTGGTTCTTCCTGGATCTTCTTATATCTTTTCTAATTTCGCTTATCCATTAAACATTCTTCTCATTTTACTTTCAGTTGAGCACAACTAAAACTGTTGATGGGAAGTCGACGTTTCTGCACATCCTGGTTAAGTCTTTGTGTCAACACTTTCCGGAAGTATTGGATTTTTCCAAAGATCTTACAATGGTCCCTCTTGCAGCAAAAGGTAAAACACCACATCAGATATTGTAATTTTGTAAAAGGAATAAACAAGATCTAAGTAACATTTTTACACCAAAAACCTTGTCAGTGAACCAAAGGACCGTGACTTCAGATGTGAATGACATAAACGCGACCATCCAGGATATCCGCTCAGCTTGTCAGAAGATGCCTGCGACTGCAGAGGATCGCTTTGCTGTTGTCATGAGTGTATCCTTCAAAAAGAATGATAATTATCTTCTTGGTAAAATGAGATGCATTGCTTCTTTGACATTAATGTGTGCAGAACTTCTTGGAAAATAGTCATCCAGCAATTCAGTCCCTGGAATCGCTCCAACAGAGAGCCATGGAAGAGTTCAGCAAGACAGCCTCATACTTTGGTGAAGATAGCAAAGCTACAACAACAGAGGCTTTCTTTGGTATATTTGCTGAGTTTATGAACAAGTTTGAGGTAAGAAATGTAGCTTTAGTCACTTCTGTTTATCAAATCTGAACTTGAAGGTGTCATTTCTCTCATTTTTTGTTTTTTGCTTTGCTAAATAAGGAATCTAAAACCTGTAGCTTTCTAAACCCATGAATGGGAAAAATATCAAAAAGCTAAATTTGAAACATGAATTGCAAAACAGAAAAAAAAAATGTGTAAATGCATACAATATTTGCATAAAAACCTCTTGAACATTTTCACCTTTTATAACTTTTATTTAGTTTGAATTGCATGTAAAGGACAAAAGGACAATTAGTAAAAAAGGCTTAAAATACAGTATGAGCTGCAATACAATGTTTTAAATCAATGAGTGCTTTTGAATGAGCATAAAGCCCAGTCCCTAGATGTGCAAAGCTGCAAAAACCAAACAAACAAAAAAATAAAAATGCTGCCTAAACTGCAGCAAATGTTGGTTCTGCAAAGACCTGACTTAAGCCTCTTAACAAAAAATGCACACTACACTTAACATATTTTTCTTTCCAAATAATCGGACCAGTATGAGTTATTTTCATGCACTACTCATTGTCTTCTTTAACTTAGAATCCCAATAAAACCATAAAAAATTCAATCTTTACAACACTCTGTACATACAATAACTTGATATAACTAAGTAAATAAGTCGATTTGGATAAAAGTGTCTCCTAAATGCATAAATATAAACATAACAGAATTTTACTTTTTGTTGTTGTTTTTCACTGCAGAGAGCTCTGAGCGATCAACAAACGACAGAAATCCCAAAGAGCCCCAGAAGCCCTCGAATGGCCTCCCCGCAGGCCTGGTAACATGCATTCACAGGTGTAACTGAGACTGAACCTTACAGCAGCTGAAACCTTTTACATACAGATTCAAACCCAATGTATGCTGAACATACACAAACCTGTGGACACAGCATCAATAAAAGAAGGAAAATGGAAGATTGGACATTTTTTCCTACGCTGAACCCCTGAACATCAGTAGTGTTCATGTTCCCTCATGCATAGAAAACAATGAAAAGGTTCTGATTTCAAACTTTATCCAGTTTTTAAGCATATCTTTACTGTCTGAACGATAGATAGTCGCTAATATGCCGCAGTTTAAGCTGTATTTCTCTAAGCACCCGTGTATTCCGGTACAATGACAATATAGGTAAAATATTTGTTGCATATCTTTGAATAAGACAATTATATTTATTAAATCTTGAATAAGGTATGAGCTTTGATTAAAACTCACTGCAATATATGATTCTGTGGAAATCACAGAAGCTGTTGAAATAGTAGACTTGTTCTCTACTTTCATCAGACGCCCACCACTCTGAATGTAACATAGGCTCTTTAACAAATGTTCCTTCCAAAGTAGTTTCTCCTAAGAACAAAACGGGAGTGTAAAAACTCAGAGCAGGCGTCCTGCAACTTTTAGATATATCCCTGGTCAAATCTCAATCAAATGGCTGAATATCCTCCTCAGTGAGCTGATTATTATTTTCTGTGTGTTAAAACAAAAGCCGACACACAATGACTGGAGTTTGACGCTGCTGGATGAAATGTCGTTTTATTTGTTGTCTGGTTAAGCCTCACTATGTGCACACTTTCTTAACGTATGCTTATGGATGATGCTTGTAATTATTGCATCCTTCTTATAGAATACAGTGTTAATGTGGGCTGCAGCTAGCTGTTTGTTTTATAGAAAATAATGCAATCTGTATACAGGGAGGATTCCAGAATTGGGATAATTTCAGTCCTAAAGTGGGCCGATGCAATGTGTGAATGTCAGAGCTCCTCTGTTAGCTACTGCAGTCATTACATTTTTACAGAGATGTATGATGTGGTGACTAAAAAGACGGAGACGGTGTAAATGATGTAAATGCTACTCCTTGGAGCACCCTATTGCTTTTTTTTTTTCATTATTCCTACATTTCCTTAATTCTGTTTTATCTAACTGGATTTTAATGTGTTTCTAGGCAGACTGTAGCAATAATTCAGTGATGTTTTTTTAGTTTAAAATAAAACAGATTTACCTTGATATTACACATAACTACAATAGCGAACTTATTCATACCCCTTGAGCTTTTTCACATTTTGTCAAAATACAATCACAAATGTTAAATGTATAGTGGAGGATTTTTGTGAATTTTGACAACCAACCCTAAAAAAAAAGCCCCTGCACAACCCTTAACCCGCTTAACCCTATTAGACGCGTGGGAGAGCATGCACAAGCCCATTTCTCCTCATGCGTGTTCTGTTTAAAAGTTGCTGTTTGCATCGCTCATACAAGCTTACTTTCCACTATGTCAGACTCATCACCGGTAAGTGAAAACCTAAACATATCACCAGAATGATTGACAATTAGAAGGACCCCTTATTTAAATGATCCACCCAGAAAAAGAACATCCTGCACTATACCTTTAATTGATATTTTTGGGACCTTATAAAACATACTAAAACAAGGTAGTGCATAACTGAGAAGTAGAAAGTATTTTGTATTTTCACATAAAAAAGTGTGGCACAAATTTATTTGCTGCCACTGTTAGTCAGTTTTGCATTTTTGTTCTTTGCCAAATAGCTCAGCCTCCCTCATTTTGGATGGGCAGCACTTGCTAAACATCAAATCTAACTGGATTTTGGTCCCAGTTTGACTAGACCCTTCCAACTTTAAATGTTTTTAACATTTCCATAATAACTCCGGGTATGGGTTAAAAAAGATAAATTCTTTTCTCATCTGATCTTTGATGCACTATTAATTTATGGCACACAGCAGATGTTTAACAGTTATATGATGATAAAGAAGGCCTATTTTATATGTTTATTTACAAAAATGTAAAAGACAAAAAAATAAATCATGTTCATGTGTTTGTGTTTGTCAAATGATATTTTTGGTTTGTTTTAACATGACAAAATGTGGAAAAATTCAAGGGGTCTAGATTTTTGCAAGGACCTGTATATAACTGCCTACCTTAGTTTTAACTGTTTGAATGCAACTGTGGAAGGAAATGTTTTAAAAGCCGTTAATGCTATTTTTAAGTGATAAAGTAATATATGCTGTTTTTGCTTGGTGACAGAATGTTGTATTTAAAGCCCTGCTCTCTATTGAAACTCTTTAAAAAATTACAACTGTATTTTTTATTGTGATAAATAAATGCAAACAATGATAAAGCGTTGAATAAAGGCTGCTTTGTTTTGATTTTTCTGTAGTAGTGTTACACCGAAGAGAATGGACACGTGTGCGTTAGCAGCGTTTTAACTTTTCTGTTTGTTTCTTTACACTGGCAAGTGGTCTGTCTGCAGAACCTCACATTAACAGGATTTTTGGTCCCCTTTTTCATCACTACTGATTTGAGCTTGGATGGCTATTCCACTTATCTTGCTTTGACTTCCTCTCATTGACTAATTTGGATGAATTTGAACATTTTACAGCAATCATTCAGCTGTTTACTGACATGTGGAAGCTCTTTCACACGCCTCCTTGTGAGGTGTAATAAATCTCTTACATTTTAACTAAACCTTGTTGTGCATGTGGAGAAAGTGGAGTTTGAACCTGATGATGTGTTGAGGAGGATTCAAGACAAGAGTCATGTTACTGGGAATGTTTTCAGGTTATTGGTGACATGGTATATTGTTTGGACAGAGTACGGACCAGGTGGTATGAGACTGCTGGACAAATTACTGAAAGGTGAGTTTATTTAACATTAAAACATCTAAAACACCGAAAGATAAAGATGGTAATGTAACTTGTGGAACAGCCGCTGTTATCACTCTCACACCTAAGATTGAAGTTAATGTTTGCTTTTATGGCATAGATTTGCAAAAGGGCACCCCATTTTACAGACTATGATTTCTGCAGTGAGAAAAATGTTAAAATGTCTGATGGCTTTAAATATTTGAATGTCAGATCGTGCTTACAGGAAGTAAAAAGAAGCAAATAAGACAAAGCACCTTCATATACGTACATCTAAAGATGCTGAATACCGTAACATATGGGATGACGTTTAAATATAAGGAAATCCATTGGTTTTTTTTTTGTTCAAAAGCAAATGTTGTTCTCTGTTTTCAACATGAAGCAAACTTTGTCGCATTTTATGCTTTCCAGATGATTTACATGCAAAGAGCTGCTGAAGGAACACCAACGACCAACATGACTCCAACTCAGAAACCTCCTTTGGGGGGCAAGACACTGGTTACTGTGGATATTGTAGTCCTGGTTGTCTACTTTCTACTGGTGCTGGCTGTTGGTTTCTGGGTAAGAAGCAGAAAAATAACTCGTATACTGCAATAACGATCTAAAAATAACATTTTTTAAATTAAGTGTATTTACCCATAATTTTAGTAGGTAAATAAGATGATTTACCAATGAAATGAGTATTTGTACTTAAAATAAGATAATTAGATAATATGCACTTGAAATAAGACAATGCAATTGTTTTTTCTTAAATGTAAATGATCTTGTTCTCACTTACCTCCTCAATTCAAGAACAAATGCACTATTTTAAGATAAAAATACTTATTTAGATTTAGATTTTCTCCAGTGTATATAATAACTAACTGGCTTTCTGCTATAAGTGATATCCAAAGGTTCAATATACAACCTTTATTTGTTAACATACTGAACCATACTGGTTTTTATCAGTAGTGTTTATCTCTCTTTTTCAGCCTATCCATTTGCAACCATTCTTAAGTTTATCTAGCTTTAAAGTATGAGTAACAGTCTGTGTTGCCTGTCCATTCTAACTGATAAAAGTCTAAAAATAGACAAATCAGGTGTGAAACAGGAAATTTTATCTTGCTAATAGCCTTTTTCCACATGATTAAAGAGTTTATAATAACAACCATATCTTGTTCATGTGGTGTAATATTTGTCTGTGCATAAAATGTATGCATTAACAAAAGTTGAAAACTTGTTTTAACCCAAATCTGTCAAGGTTTATTAAAAATGTGAAATTAATACATATTAGAATTAATGTGTTACTGAATAAATGTTTTTTTTATAATTAAATAGCACAAATTGTGCATGTGAAATTACCAATTTAAACTTGAAATAAACCAATGGGAAAACAGTCTTTAAACAAACCATCTTTGGACATAAACTGGCTCTACTATTGAATTAAATATGATTAAAATCAAATACATTTCAGCTTTTTACAAGCTAGTTTCCTCGCCTTTGAAGAAAAAGATAAGCTTAATTTTTTCTTATAAGTTGTACAGTATACATTTTTTTTTCCTAAAAGAATAAGTGCCTAATTTAGAAGAAAGCAGCCAGAGATATTAATATATTGGTTTAAGCCACATCTTACATCTATACAGGATCTAAGTTTTTCAGGATGGACAAAGTTAATAGTTTATAAGGTACGGTAAACTGGCCAATGGTCTGTAATTCTATAGCTCTTTATCAAGAACAAGGATTTCAAAACTCTTTACACTCCATTCACTTATTCACACACTGATGATGGTAAGGTACATCTGCAGACTGACAGAAATAAGGCTAACACAAAACCAGCGCCTCTGGGCCCTCTGATCAAACAATGTGGGTAAAGTGCCTTGCCTAAAAATAGAGACAAGCGGAATGCGGGCTTGACCCGACAACCATCCAATTACATGAGAAACTCCATATCCTTGGCCACCGTCACCCTAAAAAAGTCACAAAGTGACAAAATGTGAATAGTATATGTTGAGTCTGTATTTATTCTCATTAAGGTGAATAAAACCATTTTTTTATTCAGTAAGGGTACCAAACACAAAATGATTTCCTCTTGACTTAGTCTAACCTATTTTCTTTTTATTAGTCAATGTGGAGGACAAAGCGAAGTACGGTGGATGGATACTTCTTAGCTGGCAAGAGTATGACCTGGTGGCCAGTAAGTATAACACCATAAAGTCTTTTTGGATAAAAAGATCTAAGACTGATTTTCTAATTAAACTATGAGGTAAATAATGTAAAATCACTTTTATACCACAGTTTTCTTTAGTCCCCAACAGAGAAGAACTGTTTTCTTCTAAAAGGAGCAGGTCAAGTTGATCTAGATCCCCCTTTCCTCCTCTAAATTTAGGTTGGGGCTTCACTGTTTGCCAGCAACATTGGCAGCGGACATTTCATTGGTCTGGCCGGGTCAGGAGCTGCTGCAGGAATTGGAGCAATAGCCTATGAATGGAACGTAAGAGATTTTATTTAATGCAAAAAAGAAAATCTGAGCTACTATCCATTTTAACGTCTCAATATTTGTTAAAAACAAACAGGGAATGTTTATGGTGTTGCTGCTTGGATGGCTCTTCCTGCCCATTTATATCTCCTCTGGGGTGAATTTTTCACACACACACACACAAAAAAAAACAACAAATTTTAAAGGTTTTTCCATCTTTCATTGTGAAAATAATTCTTAACATCTGTCTTCTGCAGGTGACAACCATGCCTGAATATTTGCAGAAGCGCTTCGGGGGAAGAAGAACCCAGCTATTTATAGCAATCTTGTACCTGTTTGTTTACATCTTTACAAAAATATCTGTATGTCATGAATCCAAAAGGATTTGATGTGTTTTGCCGATAAATTGTAAAAATCTGAACGTATAAATTGATATTGTTGAATCTGTTGTTGTGCTGCATTCAGGTAGATATGTATGCTGGAGCTGTATTCATTAAGCTTGCTTTACAATGGAATATCTATCTGGCTGTAGTGGTGCTGCTAGCAGTGACTGCTCTCTACACAATAGCAGGTGAACCTTTTTCCTCCATCACATTCTGTAAAATGCATTCTTCTGCTCCTTACCAGCTGCATAAAGTGCTTTATTTTGTGTTCTAGGTGGCCTTGCTGCAGTTATTTACACTGATGCAGCTCAAACAGCAATCATGCTCGGAGGAGCTCTCACCCTTATGGGTTTCAGTAAGTGTGATTTCACAGATCATATCATTTTCTAACCTCTTAGTTTTTTTTATGTTTTACAGACTGTTTTTTTTTTTCTCCACTCTGAGGTTTTGCTGAGGTTGGAGGTTGGGACGCTCTGATGGAAGGATATTTCACTGCCATTCCCTCAGTCCTTGTGCCTAACTCCACCTGTGGCATCCCTCGAGATGATGCCTTTCACATATTCAGAGACCCGGTGAACTCAGACCTGCCCTGGCCTGGTGTTATCATCGGCATGTCCATCCCCTCCATGTGGTATTGGTGCTCTGATCAGGTACTGCAACAAATACTGATGTATTCTGGAATCATTCAAGCATACAGTTATTTACAAAAACCTTTTTCACATTTTTTAAGAATAAGGCAATGTTAGAAACTTGTCTTTTACTTGTAATATATTATAAAAATATATTATAAACCAATAAAAAAAACATAATTTGACAGGGATAAAAGTAACATACAATTAAAATCTAAGGAATCTTGTGTGTAACTGGGCTTTAAGTGAATCCTCTATGTCGCTTCAGTAATAAATGCAGGTCTTTAGAGTAAAAAAAAAGTAAGTTAAAAAATAGCTTAAATCAACAGGGTCACATTATTAACCTACTTTTTCAAAATATTGGTTACAAGCAACCTTTTCTCTTTCCTTCTCCTTTATAATGATTTCTGCACCCTAGTCTGTTAGCTTTAGCATCAAAGCCATGAATTGGGGTCATTAAAAGAGTCACTTGCAAGCCAAACATAATTTTAACATGCAATGCCACTAAATATTTCCTCCAAGCAATGAACAATGTTAAATCGCAGTATTGCACACATTGTTATTGTGATGGCATTTTTGAAAAATATTTACATTTCTTTATAGTAAAGTAATCTACATGTAGTTTAAGGATTTTTTCTTCAGTAAAAAAAAAAGAGATGTTTTCCGCATGAATACAGTGACCCCTTACTGTACAGCTTGAAATATTTTCAGTAATGTTGGGACAAAGTAAAACTTGCAGCTTTAAGTCTTTTCTTATGATGCCAGGATATCTTTTATTTGTTGTCAGAAGAAATTACAGCATCACAAAGTCCAAACCCATTTTTATGTACTGCAGAGGTATAATGCATGAAGGGAGGATAAATACAGTCAAGTCAGATGGTAAAGTATGTAAAAGACAAAGTAAAATATATTTGCAGCATTTAAATAGATTTTTTCTTTGTTTTTTGTTTGTTTTTGTTTTGAGCAAATAAATAAGACCAAGTGCCTGGAACATAAAAATCATCTTTGAAAATCATGTAACTTTTTGACTCGGAAAAAATTAGGCTTTTTTTTATTTTTAAAATAGTAAATGAAGATTTTTTTTAATTTATTTATGCGTCATACTGTACGTTTCTCCTGAATTTTCAGTATTATTCAGAAAAAATTCTACCACAATGATTTGTTTGCATATTTTGCCGTTCAAAAATTTTCCACTTCACAGAAGCAGTAACCTAAGAGAAGGATGCACATGTAGTTTAACTGATCATTTACCGTCTTATCAGTTAAGAGACAACACTGAGTTACAGGATTACAGTTCCCATTCAGATTCGGACTAAATAGACTGTCTCAATAAAGATCTTAGTTACTCATTCACCAAAACCTGGAAAATGAGAGGTCCCTTGGTTCTCTGCAGGTGATTGTGCAGCGCTCTCTGGCTGCTAAGACTCTGACCCATGCTAAGGGGGGCTCTCTCCTGGCAGCATACTTGAAGGTTCTTCCTTTCTTTGCAATCATGCTCCCTGGGATGATCAGCAGGATCCTCTACACAGGTACCGATTGGGATTTATAGGATCAGTCTGAATATTTCTTTTTTTTTTTTTTTACTGTATGATACTGTATATAGATGAGGTGGCTTGCGCAGACCCTGACCTGTGCGAACAGATTTGTGAGAACTCAGTGGGCTGTTCAGACATTGCTTATGCCAAACTGGTTATGGAGCTTCTCCCTGCAGGTGAGACCCTGACTCGGTTTCCCTTTTATGACGGTATGTTTTACTTTTCTGTAAACACTGGAGACATGTCTCCTTCTTGCATATCTTCCTTTTCAGGACTCCGAGGTCTCATGATGGCTGTGATGATTGCTGCTCTTATGTCCTCTCTGACCTCCATCTTCAACAGCTCCAGTACCATTTTTACTATGGACTTATGGAAGAGCTTTAGATCTCATGCTTCGGAATGGGAGCTCATGATAGTAGGGAGGTATGATGCCTACATCAAGGACAGAGCCTCAAAGTATTAACATATTCTACATCATTTTCAGAAAAGATTGAAAAGCAATTTTTGGATCTCTGTATATCTATTTTTAACATTTGTCCCCATATCTATTTTAAAGATATGATAGCTTGGACATAAGAGGTTCTGCAGAATATTAAACCTTACTGGTTTAATTTTTCCCATGAAAGTCCCAGTCATGGAGTAATTCAAAGTTTTTAAGTTTCTTTTACTAAAGAAAATTTAAAAACTGAGGCCCCTTTTACTCCCACGCTATTAAATAAAATGTGGATTTGCAGTAAAACTGCATATCGTTATAAACAGATTACCTCTACTATAAAAACATGATGGTAGTAGCATCATGCAGTGTGCATACTTTTCAGTAGCAGGTACTAAGAAGATAGTCACAGGTGATGAGACGATTTATCGTGGCTAAATAGAGGGCAAGCATTTTCGCTTTAGAGGATTTGAAACTGGGGAAGAGATTCACATAGTAGCAACACAACAGCCTTAGAAATACAGCGATATAAACAACAAAATTTATTTGATTATAAAATATTAATTTGTTAGAATGGCCTCGTTAAAGCCTTCAGAATCTGGGGTAATATTTGAAAATTTACACTATCAGCCATATTACATTCAAACACAGTTTAAGCTGCTTTGCAAATAATAATTAATGAAAAATACTTGCAGCTGTAATTGGAGTAAAATGTGGTTCCACAAAGTATTGATTCAGTGGCACTTAAAACAAAAACAAAAGTTTTTCTTTCAATGTAAAACTATGCTCTATTTTGTCTAAACTCCCAATAAAATACACACATATATTTGTGGTAATGTAATAAGGTTCAAATGGTATGAATACCTCTACATAGATTGTACTTCTAAAGCAACTTTACAAATGTGCAGTTTAACAATACTGTGATACTTAGATTATGTAACATAAACCAAATCTGCACATTGCAGGCTGTTTGTGCTCGTCCTGGTGGTGGTGTCAGTGCTCTGGATTCCTGTTGTCCAGGCCAGTCAGGGAGGCCAGCTCTTTATCTACATCCAGTCCATCAGCACCTACCTGCAGCCCCCTGTCAGCATAGTCTTCCTCATGGGTTGCTTCTGGAAGAGGGCTAATGAGAAAGTAAGAAGCTTCATCTTTGGGGTGCATTTACATATGAGCCCTCCTGATCTGATGTTTTCACAGAGTCCTCTGTCATGCAGGGTGCATTCTGGGGTCTCGCCATTGGTCTGACAGTCGGCTGCATACGCATGTTGTTGGATTTCATCTACCCTGCACCAATGTGCTTTGAGAAGGACGACAGGCCCAGTGTGTTGAAATACGTCCATTACCTCTACTTCTCCATGCTGTTGTCCTTCATCACCCTGGTTGTGGTGGTTGCAGTTAGCCTGGCCACTGAGGAGCCCAGTCCTGAGCAGGTGAAGCAGCAGCTTTTTTCTCTGCTGGTTGTCTCTGTTTACATCCATGTAAAAACAAAATATTTGCCTGTAGCGCCACTAGGTGACAATAAGTGATGCAGAGCCTAACTGGTCTACTTTTCAAACAGATAAGTCGTCTCACTTGGTTCACAAGGTTTGATCCAGTGATGCCAAAAGAAGAAGTGATCTCAGTGGAGCAGAGACATCCAGGAAGAGAGGCAGAGAGCAGAAACGGACAAGCATGCCCTCAAAGGAGAGGTATTCCTTTTCCACGCAGCTTGATCCCTCTCCTTTCAGTCTGCCCTGTTAACAGCATTTATCACTAAACCTCTACAGATTCTGCTTCATCTGAGTCCAGCACTCCCAGTCAGTCCAGGTTCATGTCTGCCATCTACTGGTTGTGTGGGATGGAGAGGCGAAAGGAGGCAGACAGCAACATTCCAGCTCCCTCTGCAACCGAGCAGATCATCTGCACTCTGGATGAAAAGCCGAGCTACAGACACCTCGTCAATACAAACCTCATCTTCTGCCTCTCTGTAACCGTCTTCATCATCGGCTACTGGGCTTGACCAAAGAAGAACCATACAATGACTTCCAAAATGTTCCTGCCCAACAGACTTTTTCAGGGTGTAACTCAGACTTCCATGCATTTTATGTTAGCTTTATGGGATGGTTTTAAAGTGGAACATGTTTTCCCACTTCTTGCTCTGAAAAGCCAAAATTGAATCCAATATAAACCAATTAAACAGTAAGCAGAAACTACCAGGGTATAATTTAATCTCAGTACAAATCTAGTTGTACTGCGAAGGCCTCAGAAATGTGTTAGATAACATTTGAGAACATCAGCAGTATGAAGACAAGGCAAGCAGGTTTGGCCTAAAAAGTTGTGGGAGCCAAGTTAGAAGGTAGCTAACAGTGCCTAACTAGGTAGCTTCAATCCTTTCTTCCATTAAATACAGGGAATCTACAGAGATATGAAAGAAGATAATGCAAGAAAATTCTATTTAACATGATATTGGACAAATTCTGTCTAGTTGGATGAGATACAAACTGTGTCAGATGTTAATTTATATAAAAAATATAAAAAAAATAAAAATAAGCTACATTATTTTCTTCCAACTTCATAATCATAGTTTAGTTTGTGCTGGGATGATAAATTGACTTAAATCATAGATCCCTTTTCCAGACATACTTAATCGGAACCACACTTAGTCAGTCAAACACACTTATTCATTCACCAGCATATGATTGGGTTCTCAGCCTGGGGCTGAGATGCAGATAAAAAAAAGCTGGAATCAAACCAACAACATTGGCTTGACTTCAAAACACCAACTCTTTCCATTTAGCCACAACTGCCCCTAAATCTAAAGGCTCTACAATCTCCATAAAATAGATTGAATTATGTGCAGATGTCATTGATTTTATAGCAGGTTAGCTAAGATGGTGAAATGATTATCTCTAAAACTCCCTTCATTTTGTTATAAGCAAACCTATACAAACAATCTCATAAATTTACATCTATTGTTGGCTTGCTCAGTTTTTTTTCTAATTTTACAGGAATATTATACATGTTTGCAAAAATAAAAGTAAAATGAAAGTAATTTATAAAAGCTCCTTTAATTTAAAAATAAGTGTATACAGTAATAATTATAAAGAGTAACGATGGTTTGTAGGTTGAAGAATCAGAGAAAAAGACAAGAAAACTAGAGAAAAAAAATAATTCACAAAAAAGGATTTTAATTTTTTTTTCTCCTGTATTGAGCTTTGATCTCAGGAGTGATTAGTTACACAAAGATGAAGATTGTCCCTTTCAACCATAAAACTTAAAGCATCAAATAGGACCTTTCCATTTAAAAATCAGTTTAGCAGACATCAAATAAAATCCTGATTAAAAATTAAACAATCAACTTTAACCTGTGTTACTCGCAACATGCAGCAATATACTCTGAACACGGCATCAGTGGAAGACAACTGCATCTCTTATTGCACCCTTCCCAAAGTATTTGGTCACTGCAACTCTAAATATGCGCTAAAGTCAAAGCTATCTTTGGGTCCTTTAGGCATTTCTCGATACCTTCCTGCATGGTGTGAACATCACATTAGGTGTGATGAATCTGCAGAAATGGGAAAGTGAAAATGCAGTTTAGTTTTATTATAAATAGGTGGCAGATTGAATTCTAATCTCCTCATCAACAAAAAAAAAAAATTATAAAACACAGCTAAAACCGCACTCATATTTTTGTCTGCAAAATAATTTCTAGCTTTGACACTTTGGCGTAAAAAGAAGAGAGGTATAAAAAAAAGTGAGATTTTTCCAGCACCCTTTTTCTTTCCTTAGTTAAGCTGCAATAAAATTGAGGTTCTTTAGGCCGTGGCTCTGAAACCCAATCTCTGAACACTCGGAAGAACACGCAGCTAAAAAAGTTCAATGTTGGAAGCGATGGCAGCACAACATTGTTGTGGTTTAAGCCACCGCTGTACAACAAGGCTTCTGGTTCAACTCCGTACAGCAGACAAAAAAAAAAAGCATCGTGAAGGTTTAACCCTGTCTTCGGTTAATGACTGAAGCTGGAGCATCTTCTACAGGGGAGTGTTCTCTGTCTCGATGTGAAGGTTTGGTTCTGGGGTGGAGATGGGCTCTTGACCAGCAGAGTCCTCCACTTGTTGCTCCTCGATCACCTTGGGGATAAAAGCTTTTCCAATCCCCTTAATAAGCAGGCCTCCTTCTACTAAAATAAAAAAAATAATAAAAACACCCCATAGGGAAAAATTAGCAAACGCATCATGACATAGAGAAAACAGCTGCACACACACACACATATCACTGCAAACTCCACACTCTTTAAGACACCAAGGACTCCTCTGCGATGTAAAAGTAATCAATACTGCTAAATAATCAATCTTGATGTTTCTTTTAAAGTTTCCTTGGTGTGTTAATCTGTAAATGCAACAAACCATTTTGCACATATCTGTGCAAGAGCCACAAAAAAAACCTGTTTAGAAGCACGTTAGTTAACACAGCAAACTGTTAGCAGACACATCCGTCCAAGCTAAACCTAAATGCAAGCATGTTAGGTGCAGACAAATGCATTAAAAACATGCCATCAGACATAAACATACAGGTGCATTTCATTAAATTTGATTATCATTACAAAGTTTATCTCTTTGCTGCCTTAAAACTGTGGAAGTTTTTTCTTCCTTGCAAAAAAACAAAAGTCTTTTGCAGCTGAAAAGATATTTTATTTTTAATTTTTTGGAATTGCTCAATATTTTACATCAGCTATATATATCCCATCAACTATGAGGAGCTTGCAGTCCCTGCTATACGGCCTCCCGCAGCATGATGCTGCCACCACCATGCTTCCCTGTGCATACGATAATCAAAGTGATGCACAGTTAGATTTCTGCCACGATCCCTGTTTTGCTTACAGGGAAACAGTTATGTTTTCACATATTTTCACATCATTAAAATTTTCATTGAGAAAGATTACATGATTTTACTTTGTTGCACAATTGTTTTCTTATGTTGATTTCTAATAAATAGTTATGGTAAATAAATAGTTAAGCCCACACAATGATGAGGAAGGCTGCTGACTTGGCAGCAATGGGTATAAGCTTCATGTTAAAGATGCTTGTTCAGGGTGACATGTCAAAACATTTCCATAGAAAGTTTAGTGAAAAGGATAAAAAAAACTATTAGTATAAAAGCTGCATATCAAACATGGATACTCCAGTCAAATTGTAGACAGAGTTTTGTTTTATGTCTTTAATATGATATTTTGATTTTATGAGAAACTTTTTTATGTATTCAAAAATTATAAGCCAAATTTCACTAAAATAAGACTAAATCATTTTAAGTTGCCTACTTACCACCTAAATAAATAAATATGAGCTTCGCTTTTCAAATCGAATTACTGAATCAAAGTAAACTTCCAATGATAACCTAATTTAGTGAAATGCACTTTATCTATGTAACATTTATTAAACATACAACAGAGCTTGAGTTGGTTTCCCCATAAAGACACACAAACAAAAAGCAGCAAAACTGGCCAATACACCCAGCCAACGGGAACCTTACCATCACCTGCCCGGCAAAGCTCATCTTACAGGCAGGCCGGCAGCTCAGACATCTGCAATGTTTACACACATTTCCTGTCATGCTTTAGATCACCACAGTTCCATTTAGTGTGACACAAATCGAGACAGTGAAACCAGAAGAAGAAGCCAGAGGTCTAAAAACAGCAGCGCCCTAAGAGGAAGCTACAGATGGTTATCAGCGGACAAGAGGAGGGGGAAGGGAAAAGGTCACTGAAACAAAAAATAAAAACAAGGCTGGAGATGTTGTTTTCTTCTGTTCAACATGAACCAAAAAGAAAATGGATTGCATTACAATTCCTAGAGCTGAATAAACTTGAATGAAATTTAATGAGCCAAATATCCTTATTAACATGCATCTGGAATAATGTTAACAATCCGACAAACTAAACACATTTGGCTTAAAAAGTTTCTGATATTCTGATTGTAAATAGACAAACCTGCAATTAATCTGTTTGATGTAAATAATGTCTGTCTGATAAATTAAGTGAACTTTCCTTTGCTACCTTTTTTTATTTATATTGTTGGTTGTTTTTTAGGATTTTATATTCTGCTTCTGAACCCCTGGAATCTTTTTTTTTTTTTTTACCTGTTATAATTTTGGACGCAGAGTTCATGAGGCCATTACCACTGTCGTTAGCTGTGGGCTGTGGTGGCGGCGGCATGTTGGGTCGAATCCTCGGCTTCGGGGCAGGCCTGGCGGGGCGAGGCAGAGATCCGGTGGCGTATGGTGGCGGAGTATCAGGAGGTGTGGGAGTTCTTGGGGGAGAGGGCTCTGTGTCTCCCTGAGGGGGGTGCTGGGTTTGAGGAGGTTGTGGTGGTGGGTGGCTCGGGGCATGGATGAAATCTTTGCTGGAGTGACGACGAGTGGCGAGGGGGGGGTGACCAGGAGAGCCGGGTGGCTGAGGGCTGCTGGACTGAGAAGCATATGGGCTGGCCACTTTGGGTGGAGCTGGGGCCTGCTTTTTGGTGCCTTAAAAGCAGAAGATCAGAAAGATTGAAATAACCCCCCTTAAACTATTATAGGTTACAACCTCAAAAGACCTTCAGTGCATTTTAGTGACAATTTACATACAAATCAACACAGTAGCACATAATTGAAACTGCATTTATTATTTTTTTCCAAATAACATTCTGAAATATTGGTATTGAGGACTTGTTTTTAATCTTGCCAAAATTAAAACGTTTCCCTTAATTAAGAAAAGCAAACCAGCAGTATGATACTACAAACAGCATATATAGTGCAGCTGTAAGACTTTTGGGGTGTGTCTCTACCACCTTTGCACATTTAGAGAACTCATTTTATCAACTATGTAAGATAAAGGGCGGCAAGTCACTGAACAAAGTGCTTCTATTTACAGTGATTCAAGTAACAATAAGATTCAAGTTTGCACTGTGAGCCATTCTAACATTCTAACATATGAATAGCCTTTTGTATAACTGTGTTAAAGGCCACTGTCCTAATGGAAGGTAAACATCTGTTTTCTCCTACTGGTTTACCTCCAAATCTGGCCAATGCATGGCTCCACCCTTCACATTAGCTTAGACCTGCTTCCCACCTAAGGAGTAACATCCTCACAACAAGTGACTGCTGCCACTGCCCTGTTTACCGGAGAAATGCATGCAGAATAAGGGGATTTTTGTTAATTCTTAACCAAACTGTTTTGCACGTTTGCAATTAAAATCAAATCTAACCACAACACCTTGTGTTGCACTTTCCTATGCCTTCTATAAGGTCTGTGGCAAACCCTTTTTGGTGGTAGACTGACCATTTTGGTGAATGTCTATTTTTGTGTTTGTTTTCTCACTTCTGATCACAACTTACTGACTATTAAGGTTCATTTTGGGCTAATTGGTACAGCAAATATATCCAAGCACCTTAAAAAAATTTCTTAACATGTTAAAAAACAGAAATGTTCTTCTTTTTAATTTATAGTTGTGTAACTTCATGCTGCCTAATCACATAAAATCTATTTGAAATAAAGAAGAGTTTGTGTTTGTAACATAAAACTCCTGTTGAGCGTTGTAAAGGGAATATCAGGGTGGAAACCGTTCTCACCTCTGCGGACCATACGTGGACTCGGCCCTGTCGACCCACCCGGTGAGTGCGAAGTTCCGGCTGAAAGATGAGGTGAACCTTTCCTCTGCGGAGGAGGGGTGGCCTCTCGGGCTTGGCTGTAGAAATACAACAGAACAAAATATTAAACCCAGTCATCAGTACCTAACTGCTACAAAACAAGGCCGACTGCAGGTGCAAAATCAAAACAACCATGCAAACACACAATGACAAACACTTTTTCCATCCAAACACTTGACAGAGGTCAAAACAAGAGGAGTGACTCAAGAAAAGAGCAATCAAGGTAACAAGCAAAAAAGAAAACAAAAGTGTGCCATCAATGTGCTGCATGCAAAACAAAGAAGGCCAAAAAGCAGTTAAGCACAGGATTGGCCATTAAGATATCTTTAAAAATAGGTTCATCATCATCTCAAGCAGAACGCAGAAGAGAAACAAGCGCATGATCAAAGCAGAACTTGATTATCATTGCACTGAATTATTCATTTCTGAAGCTGTGTTAAACGTTGTGCATGAAGTAGAGATGATTGTTCTAAGATCCAGAATGGTTCTTACAGTTACCAATCAAACACATGGCATACACAAAGGGTGGGCGGGGCTCCGGATTGGTTGATTGGCTGCGAGCAGACGGAGTTACGTTGACACCTCAGCTCACTCCTTACCTGCTGTCCTCTGTGCTGAGCTGCGTTAAAACCTGAAGCTGCACTGCGGCTGCCTGGACCCCACCCCCCTGAGCTTCAACGCCAGCAGCAGTGGCGGCGGCAGCGCTCAGACCCAGCTGCTGAGCCTCTGGACCTGGAGACTGAACCGGAGGGGACTGCGGCACATGCTGGGTGGAACCCAGGGTCTCCAGAGGGGGCAGTGTAGATTGGAAGGTGGGTGAGGTTAGTGGTGGCTGCTTTCTATTTACAGTGCCGGTTCTGCGTGGAGCGGGCTCCGGATGTTTGTTAACAGGGCTAAGAAGGAGGGGGAAAGAGAGGGTGAAACAGCACGCCAACCATATGCAGGAGACCAAGAGAGACAGTGAGGAGAGTAAGAGACATGTCTTGACATACAGAGAGAGATGATACTTCCTGAGTGCAGTGAAACCAGCCCAGGAGGAAGAACCAAAAGAGGACATAAAACCACATGACAGTCACCTTTCAAATACGGTAATACTGAGCTGCACTCCGCTGCTAGAATAAAAGATACAGAGGCAACAGCACAGAAACAAGAAGCAACACAGGAAGCCCACACAAAGTATAAACCTACAGAGAGACCTAAGCTTTAATCAGAAAACAAAAAAAGATGACAAGAGTACAGAACAGCAATACAAAGAGATATAGACAGAATCATGGCCCAAAAATGAAAGTTAAAATGTCTAAAAAAGCAAAAAGGTTTTGTTACCATAACTATGAAACTGTATGTGAAATCTCATTAGCATATCAGACAATACGTGCACGGATAACAAAGAACATCCTCCCTTCGTTTACTGCTCAGTAACTGAATGCATTAGAGCTACATCCTGCTATGGCACAGCTTTGAAGTCTGGGCTAGGCAGATCTTCAGTGGGCGTCTCGGTGACCGTGATGGACTCGTCAGCCACTACGTAAAGGGCCGACACCGCCGGGCCCCGCGACTCCTGCCTGCTCGGTGTCTTTGGGCGGGATGGCAGGGCGAGAGGCAGGCTGAGGCTGAGGTTGGGACGAGACGTGTACCTGTCTTTACGGGGCGTGTGAGCATCCCCTTCATGCCCAGTGCTGCCGGGGCGCTTCCTCTCCAGCACGGGATCTAGGTCGGGGGTCGGCGGGTGGCTTGGCATGGAAAACATGCCCGAAACATTGAAGTCCACCTCTGAAAAAGAGAAGGCAGTTGGCAGAGTTTAAATGGTTTAACGCCAGAAAAAGAGCAGACAAATATAAATGTTTATCACATTACACATTACAGAATTCAATGTACTTAACTGACATACAAACGCATGCCACAGCTAAAATGTAGAGGAATGTGTTCTGTTCAAGTCTGCATCTATAAGACTACGTGTGAAGCTAACACTGCCCATATCATCCCTGCAGTAAAATATGGTGATGGCGGTATCATCCTGGGGAGGAATCTTGATTGTTGAAGCACCTACACTCTCCATCCAATGACTGACTGAGCTGGGGCTTGATAAGAAGAGTGAGCACCAATTTTCAGACTCTAGATATGCAAAGCCGCTAAAGACAAAGCCTAAAACATTTGCAGCTTTTATTACAGTGAAAATGTGGATCTGCCATGTCTCAGTCTCAGGGAAGCAGCATAGAATTGCACATAATGCCATTTACATTTTTATCAAGTATCCCAATTCAACATTATTTGATACTTTGTGCCCATCTGTCAAATCTACAAGTAGGGAAAATGAAAACAATAATCAAATAAATTGGAGCTAAAGAAATTATTTGCATTTTTTTTTGAATAAGCAATAGCTGACAAATTAAGTAAGGTTTTTCCATTCAAAATAATTGTTATTGATGGAAGCTGGAATGTTTTGGCTTTGTGTTCATGCTTTTATTATTTCCAAACAGCCAGGTCAAGATGTAGTTACTTTTAAAATGTCTTATTAGCAGCTTCATGTACTCATGCAATATGTGTTTATTTCAGGGAACAGTGTTTCCTTCATGTAGTTTCTATTTTGATATACCGCTCATAGTTACTCTTACATTCCTATTCCTCACACTGCAAAACAAGAATACTGCTTAAGTATATTTACACTCAATCATGCTATTTCTTTAATTAATTAACCCAAATTAATGTGTTAAGTCAGAGCTTTGAAAAAAAGAAATATCATTTAAAAAAACAACAATAATTTTAACATATTTTTTTGTTTTCAAAGTGAATTTGCATCTTCAAGCATCTCTTTATGGAACAAAAGGATGAGGCTGGACTGCGCTACCATAAAGTAACGACAAAATACTCTGCTTCTGCTGCATGCAGACAGGAATCTGTTTTCTTTTCTGTTCTTGAACCAAACTTTCGAGGAAGATGGAAATAATTCTGTAATTGTAGCAAATGTTTTACCGTCAGGGAAGAACCAGTCAGCATGTTGGATGATGGGTTCTATGATGGCCCCAACATGGACAGACGTAGCTGCAGCCATCTCTGCCAGCGTCCTAAATGTTACCAAAGCAGCACAATAATAAAAGGACAGAGCTTTTAGTGTACATACTTTATTGTCAAGAAAACAAAAAACAATGAGAACGTATTTTACCCCTCTGTTTTGGCCCAGAGCAGGTTGGGCCCCAGGACGATGGCAATGTTGCTAGGAGTCATTTTATTGAACTCACTTTCCTGAGCCAGTTTAGCCAGGAACTTCACCAGGTACCTACAGAGGAAACAACCAAAACTCACTTAACTCAAAGAAACTTTGATTGTTCGACATTATTTTTGTTGTTCTATTTGTAATTGAATCAAACCTTTAATAGAACTGCCTTTAAATTCCACTATCCTATCTACAATTGATTAGAAGCTACAAGTCTGTCTAAATATACATAATAAATCTACATCGTAATAACATTGCTCATTCTTAATGTGCTGGGTCTGGAAAGGGAATCACTTCCCACATAAGCTTGTACTAGTTGGAAATCAGAACTTAGTTTATAACATTGAGTGTTTTCCTGTGTGCTTCTAGTTTAATGACATACAAACCATCAAAAGTGCAAATAAATATTTTATATCACAGCCATAATAGAAAACCAACACTAGGCTACTCAGACACCTCCAACTCGGCTAAAAAGAGAACGCAAAATGTTTTAATTTGCTGATATCTATAGTTTTAACACTTGACGTCATTAAATTCCATAGAAAAAAACACAGTTTGACCAAAACCTCAGATCACTTTAACTGCTGTAACTTTTCTGATTTAAATTAATTTTATTTTAGTCCTGGTAAAGTCTTAATCATCTGAAATGCTTAGATTTACAATCAGAGCTGTTAAAAAGCGTATTGAAACAGTATTTAAAAATGACGCAAGAGAACCAAAAGCTTTTAAGGCAAAGTCAAACAACAGGATCAGATTAAGATTAAAGTTGTGTAAACTATTGCCTTATGAAAAAAATGGTTGATCAGATTATATTTTTGAATTTTGTTACATCTGACAGAAATTAGTTGTCTGTAGCATTCTAAACCAAAAAAAAGCTATGAAATATTAATGAAATTGACAGGAATTTAAAGAGAAGAGAAACCAATACTGGAGACATTTTTTAAGCTATTTAGCATATGTTAGGAGATGCTAAACTGACTGGCGTGTTTTAGGGAGAAGTAATGTGTGTTTTACATTTATCCATCTCCAAACTGCGGCTACAGCCACTGCTGATTGCTAAGATGTCTGTGCACGATGAATAAATATTTTTTAATTATTAGATTTCTGCAACATATTTTCAACAAGGTTTTTTTTTTCTTTACAGACAGGCTTTATATTTGTTGTTCTTTAAATTTAATATTTCATTTATCTTTTTTTACAGCACTTCTTGTCTATCTGAAACGTGGCTGATTGATGCTCCTACCTGAAGTTAGCTTTGTGAGCCTTTGGCAAATGGTCACATGCCACCCAAAGGGCCTGAAGTCTCTTGTCAGAGTCAGATATACTGAAAATGCAGATTAAACAATTGAATTAGTACCAGGAAACTTATCTTTTACAGGATAATAAAAGTCAGAGCTGTGTTTGTGTGTGTATGCTTTATTACTTGGAGGCGTTTATCCACTCATCATAAAGGCTAAACGTCATTAAAGGCTCAGGTAATTCCCTTAGGTAGGACTTGAGGGCTCCTGCAAATGGCACAGATATACTATGAAATAAAAAAATAAAGTAACATAAAAATCGAATGGTTTTACTTTCATCAAACTGCAGCGGAGGATGTACCAGCGACTGCATGTGGATCTGAGTAGAACTCCTCGAGTTGCGAGGTGGAGCAGTCTAAGGCTGCTTTCAGCTTTTTAAGCTTTGAAGCTCCAGCAGCAATCCGGAAGAGTCCCTGGGAGGATCATGAGGAGGAGGAAAAAAATAAAAAATCAGCACAGTATCTGCACACACAGCTCTGGTAAACACTTTAAAAACCAAGAAGCTAAAGCAGCGCTGGGAACAGGAAAGGAGAAGCAGATATCTATCAGAAACAAGAGAGGAACCGTTCCATTACTGACAGAACTGTTTTCTCTGTTTGACGGAACCCCAGACAGTCAAATCACAATGGTTTGGTTTCACTTCATAAAAATGCTGAAATCACTCTCTACTGGGAGCCCAGCAGTACTGCTACATTTTAGGAGTGCAACATCAGAGAGGATAATGCCAAACAGATGTCCACACATAGACAGGTTTTATCCCTGCAACACTAAGACTAGCTAACCAAAACTTGGCAAAAGATGTTTGCAAACTGCAGATTTCACCATTTCTGAAGCCTCATCATCTCCTAGATCAAATGAACAGAAGCATTTATTATTTGATGGACACAAATCTAAGCCCAAATTACAGTTAAAGGCACACCGCAGACTTTTTGACCTAAAGAGTTGACGCAAATCATTGGCAGAGGAGCTGTTTTTACATGTGTAGAGCTAGCAGTTATGCCCATAGTCGGCCCTCGAGAGCTACTGTCCGGCAGGTTTTAGATTTTTACCTACTAATTCTGATAATTGCAGTTCAGCAAAACCCTGTTAATCAGCAATCAGTTAAAGTCAGCTGTGCGAGAGCAGGGAAAACCTATAACGATACGGGAGATTGGGCGATTTTACATCTGCGACAGCGCTGCAGCACTACCGCTCCTAGTGGTTACACGGTGTGCTTTTAACGACCATCAACTTTACTCCATCTTACCTCTTCCTTCATGCCGGTCTCCAGCAGCATCATGACGCAGGCCTCTAAAGGCAGAGCAATTTCTCGGTGGCTCTTCTTCAGGTGCTCCTCCAGCGCCGTGCCGAATGCGGGCTTCTCCATCCAGGAATCTAAATAAAGTAGAGGAGCAATTAAACTGAATGATCAGTGAATAATATTTGCTGAACTAAAACATTTTGTATCTATCCATACTACAGAACTACACAATGAACAGAGGGCTTGTATTTTTACACAAGTTTTTCCCCTCACTATTTAAGTGAAATTCAGTTGTTGCTTCCTCACTGTTTCTGCTAAATGACTTCCAAGGTGTTCAGATAATTCCAGCGTCCTGGGAGAACAGTGCATTAATCAGCTAAAACACATATATGAAAGCCATCATTTGCACACAACCCCTTAAAATCACTGCAAACCATTCAATGAGACAAATTATACAGGAGTCCAATTGCCAGCATTTGCTTAGGCGCATTAGCTGTGATGACAACAGTGCCAGCAGCAGAAGAGAGTTTATCGAGGTGTGTTGAGTTAATGAAGTGTAAAGCTGCTGATAGGCCAAGTGTGACTCAGACGTTTGTGGTTTGAGTTAAATTTAGAAACAAGTAATGAAGTGTCTTAAGTGGCATTGGGTCTGAACATTATGGCACATTTTAGCATATTGACAAGAATACTAGCGTTCATTGTGATAGAGGAAGGGAACACAGCAATCAATTATGATTAACTGTGCTCTATTGACCTTGGAAAGATAAAAGAATAGAAAAAAAGAGGAAAATTTGCCTTCCAACCTTTTTAAAGAAACAGGGTTTAATAAATGTTTTAATGGTTTCATTTTCCCTAACTTAACTGCCTTATTGGTCCACACAGAGAGCCACTTATCGCCGATTTGTCATTCACCAGCAATCTATCTCTCTAACGTGTTCTCACTGAGATGGCTGAGATCACAGTCCCAAGTTCAGTATGATGCTACTGCCCAATAAAGCTAACTTTTATGGATTTGGATTCTTTTTATGTAGTAGTCATGCAGAGGTCCTCACCTTGCTGCAGTTGGATTGTGGGAATAGCTGCTTCTAGAGCTGCCAGGGACCTCCTGTGATACTCTGCCTGAGCCTCTAACAACTGCAGCAAACACAGATAATAAACCTTTCATGAATCATTCATTTGGATCCCATAGTGAACTGTTAAACTCTGATGTACTCACCATGACATAATAGCGAGCGTAATCTCCCTCTTTTGAAGCAAAGCTGTACATGTCTGCAGAAAGCTGGTCCTGGAAGATGAACCAACATTTATTATTCACACACAGAATATTTGACAGTGTTCTTACCCTTTTTTGTGCATTAACAATAAACTCCTCATTACAGCACTGGTAAACCCCAGCTGACAGAACTTTGACCTTCCATTAATAATGTGCCTTGAACGCCTGTCCTGAGCCGCTCCTTTCATAAGACCTCCTTTGTTCAGCCACTTCATTAAACTGAGGAATGTGCACCTATTAGCTCTAACAAGCCTCCATTAAAGTCCAGATACAGCAGATTACCCCACTGTTACTGATCGTTACCTTGCATATTTCTACTTTGTTGATAGCCTCGTCCATCTCGTCCTTGAGTGAGTCTACTTTAGCTGCCATTGCCTGGTTGCTGGACTTAATCGCCTGGACCCACCTGAGGGAAACAAACAAAGTATCACCATACAATAAAAAGGTAACAGAAATATTCATATTTACTGTGTAAAACACATTAAAATGCTATTTTCCATGTAAGTGTGTTCTTGGTGAGCCTGAATTAAATCTGATCTTAAGTAGCCATATGGATTCCAACAGCTGGGAACGAAAACTGCCCCCAGTGCTCTGTTCATATCAATCATTCTACGTATTTATTTATAATAATCATGTATGTTCATACTTTGACTTTAGAGAGATTTGCACTACTAGTGCCTCTGCAGTAAGCACCAACATTGACACCGACATCTAATTTTTTTAGCTTTTTCACACTGGATTTGTCGTGTCTGCATTTTCACAACTCTGGGAGTTATGAAAATATGCTAACTGGCTTCGTCCCATTACAAACCTTGGTTACTAACCTTGGTTGTTAGACTTCTTTTACTGTCATTTTGCTACAAAAAAACAAATTTTCGTTTTGCACAGTTCTCAATACATTTCCATTTGTTAAAGTGCAGCAATGATCAAATGTAAACAATTGGGGAGAAAAACACATGGTGCAAAAAAAACACATTGATATGGATAGTTTAATGTTATTGTAAATATACAGAGAAGGACTTTAGTTGCTAAAAAATAGAGCACCGTCAAAGTGTAAAAAACTAAATTAAGAAATAATGTCAGCAGGCTGCTGTAATCGTTTAGAATAACGTATGTGAAACGTCATATTTCTTGGCTATGCCCCTTTAAAGCTGATCATAATGTTTGTTAACGTCGGAATTGGTAGAAAGTTAAAACAAAAAAATGCACTAATTTCTTGTTTTTGTATTTAGCAAATAGAAAGATTTTCAATAATTCAATTTTATCTAAGACTTGAAAAGTTTTGTGTAGTTTAATATCAGATTATGAGGTTGTTTTTAAAAGATTTGTTTTAATTACATCCATTCCAATAAAAAAAGGTTTTAGCCAATGACTTATTTCTTCCTTTGATGCTGTGTCCCTATTTGTGAATGGTAGGAATGGCATTTTTCCCTTGATGTTCTGATAAGAGGCCCTGGGGAGGATTCGCTAAAACGTAGTTGCTGTGGATTGGTTTATTTAATTCATTTCAGGTGGTCTTTAATCATGCCAAGCTATTGCTTGTCCATGAGGCATTATAACACACTCAAGCCTGAAGGCCCCATCTGTTCTAATGATATGCAAATGTAAAATGTTTGTTCTGGAACAGGGATGTTCCGGTCCACATTTTTCTCACTTATAGTCAGATTCCATTTATTGAATTTGGATATTTGTAGATCCCAATACTTTTCTGATATGAGAGCTCTGTTTGCTTTAATGGTTCAACAGTTAACTTTGATTTTCTCAGAGGCCGTAATAAGTTCCTCTCAACTAGCAAGTATATAATGTATGAACGTGCAGATTTATATCCCAAAAGGCAACTTGAGATTAGTATGAGGTCAGAAAAGGAAGTAATAAAAACAGTGAAATGTGCTGACAGGATACATTCCATTCTGAGAAAAATATGGAGCTGTAAGGGTTCAACTAGACTATGCTATTTAACTAAAGACAGATGACTATAAAGGGTTAAACTTTACAGCTTTTTGAGAAACTTAATTTCTCAGTGGAAACAGACTGAAAAAAATCTAGCCCTACGGACCTGGCTCATTTTCACTAATATCCCATCTTGAATTTTCTTTCATGTTGGAACAGATACAGATTTCAATATTGGTTGATAAGCTCTATTCTGGAAGGAGAAAGTCTCTGAATATAAACATATCTAGCCCAGAACAAAAATCACAAAAAGATTTTGGCTGAAAGTGGTGAAAGGGTCATCCTCCACAGGAATCAACAAGTTCTGCACCATCATTTAAAAAAAAAGGAAACTAAAAAACATTTTTGTCATAATTGCCCAAATTTAAAGAGAAACCAGAGAAGACAACAAGTATGATAAATTAAGAATGATGGGGAGGAACTGATGTCTTCATAGAGCAAAAAAAATGTGTAGAAATATTTCAGCAATATTTAAAGATATCGTTCACAACTTTAATGCTTGAGTACAAGACTGGGTCTTTTACATGGAAAATGGCCATAAGCATGCCACCAAACTATAGATGGCCAGTTCTCTCTTAAGAAAGAGATTTGTAATCTCAACAAAATCTGTTAAAGGTTACATTTATATATACATATCAAGGACAAAACACCATCCCATTAAATCTTTCTCAGCAGATCCACAAGTTGATTTCTAGTGAACAACTTTTTCTTTTTACCCGATTTAATGACAAAGAGGCTCTTTTCTTTAGTTTTGACTCTTTCAGCAAGGTTTCAACCAAAATGAACAACATGTCAAGTTGGACATTAAAAACTAGAGTCTTCAAGAATTGAAGTGCACCTTGCTTTTGCAGAGTCATAGTCCAGAACTAGCTTGGCGAGTTGCTTCCTCTGTTTCAGTATGTTAGGAATCTCCACCTGTGGAAAAAAATATGAAAACAACAAGACCTATGATGCATCATAGCCCTGAAATCTACTTTCCTGTGAGTCTTCAAATTACACACCCAATTTAATGCTAAAGTTAACAGAACAGCTGTTACAGAGCTGCTGCATTCCAGATCCTGAGTCATTTTCAGGGTATAAACTAAGCATTAGTGTCTGTTTTCTTTACCTCTGCCAGCTGGTTGAGAGGATCCAGAATCTCTCTTTCGATCTGAAATTCATGCTGCAAAAGTTCGTTGGCTAAGCGGCTTTCTGTATCCCCACACACATCCAGCATCTTGCTGCAACACAGAAAGATATGCTTATTTGACCACTTTCACAATATTTCACAAAGTCTCCAGCAGAAACAACTAAAGCTTTTTTTCCCCAGACATTCAAAAAGTATTATTCAATGCTACTGTTATAAAGCCTGGAGAACGTATTCATAGCCTGTGGATTTTTTTGTCAGGTCAATTCCAGAGGATTCCAGTAATATTTTATGTGATGAAGTAACATAATAATAGTGCATAGATGTTTTTGAAAAGAAAAGAATACATGGTTCAACCATTGTCAGGATTCAATCAAAAAGCTATGAGGATAGAGGCAACTACAGGTTGGAGGTTTTCAGAGGATTTAACTTAAACAACATGTCAGTATGTGGGATTTTTATAGCACAGTACATGTTACTGAGTAACAATAAGTGGTCTGTAGTTATGTGGAACATTTTTCTCACAATATATATTATTTCAATATTCTGGTGATTTTTAATAGAATTGAAGTAAAGAAGACGGGCCCTACTGAAATACTTGCATCTTAAACATACTGTAAACTAAGAATTTCACAACTTTGTCGATTAAGTATTCTCTGCAGTTTAGGTAAAACAAACAATGGGAAACTAATAAGTCGTCACCGGATTACTGGCAGTAATACAGGAACCAGTGCAATGTAAACTACACTGAGTATTTGCTAATAGGCTAAAGATTAAAAAGTTTCATTCATTATGTTATTAGTTTTTCTTACAATTGACAAAACAGCTAAACAATTCAGATCTTCTAAGGGTTTTTTCATTTGGAAAATGTGATGGAAATTACGTTAACATATTTAATGGACCAAAAATAAGGATAAATTAATAAGATAAGTGATAATAAAATGAGAACATCCCTGTGGTTCTCCCTTTATGAATCCTGGATAACTGAGCTGTTCTGCACATCCTCTCTGGATGTCTTTTCTTTGGTGGCTGATCTTTGATAAATAAAATGCAATTGTTCTTTTTCTTTTTGCGGAGCTCCTATAAAGTTTGAGCGGCAAATCTTCAATAATTTACAAAGAGAATTATCCTAGTGCAGATGAGATAAGATAACAATCTAAAATGACATACCTCGTAAGAACTATCTTTGTTCAGTATCTAGCACGGTGAATAGGTGGGAATACGGACTGGATATGAACCTGGCTAGTCCTTGTGTGTTAGCACTAAGGTTGCATTAAAAACGCGGACTGTTTTTTTTTTTATCATCATGGTATTTTTACACATAAATAAGTGGAATGAAGTTGAGTTTTAATGTCTGTCGTTGTTATTGTGAGAAATTGGGAATATTGAGTGAGTGTGTGTAAAGACACTGGGATGGGTGAGTCTCACTCCCAATAGGTGAGAGTTGACAGCCCTGCACTTTACTTTCAAATGATGGACTAAACAGAGATCGGTGAGACATTAATAGTTTTTCAATTCTGTTTCATTGCTAAATCCATCCTGACTTGTCTGCTATGTTTGTTTGTTCTCATAAAAGACTGTTTTTTTCATGAATTTTCTATAACAAACATCTAAGATTGATGCATAAAATCTCCACAGAAAACATTTTCAAGGCACCTTAAATCTCCAAATTAGTGATTTCTCACCCAATCAGGCTCTCGTCTCCCAGCTGAGTAGCACCTTCTAGCATGGTCTGGGACAGTCCTGCTAGCGGCAGCTTTTTCTGCAGCAAGACATGATAACAAAATTAAGCGCTTTCAGAGGAAAATGAGTACGTTTAGTGCAGAACAAGTCTGACAATATCTTGTTTTGAGAAGTTCATTGATAACAATTAAAGAAAGTATGGCAGAGAAACAAGATAATGGATTTCTGCACCATTTTAATCTTTCAGTTTTGTTAATGGCACTGAGTCACAGGAGGAATTTAGTTTGCAGGAAGCCATGTTTCATATCTGTGTGTTACATAAAATGAGAGGCTGTGTGTTCTCTGCACCTGTAAACCTAAAAGGTGTGTCAGCGTTATAATTTCTGCATCTGCCATCCATGAGGCGCAGAAGTACCAGTAACATTTCCCAGTGGGAAAAAAGAAATGTTTACAATCTGATCTGATGGTAAAGTTGAGTTCAGCTAAATATTCAACTCAAATAAAAGAGTAAAGGCTATAATAACAGCTGATTCGTCTTACAAATCTTTTGTCCGTGTCAGGACCAAGTTGACCCTGCAGACAGGACACCAGCCTTTTGTGCATGTTGTGCGAGGCCAGCCGCACCAGCTCCATCCGCCTCTCGATCTGCATGCACACACAGACCAAAGGAAAAAAAATCAGACAAACAACAATTTAAAATGAGAACAAAGCAAACATTAGGAAAGGATTGGTGCACTGATCCGAACCAGGGTGAAGGAAACATAAACCTTCCATCTTCCTGTTCAACTGATACGACCCAGGTGAGGCCAACAAATCAAAACACACAGGCTGAATAAGCACACATTTATTTGCAAAGGTTTCCATCCTGTCCTTGTTATGAGGGACGTCATGGAGGGTCTGACTGTGTCCTGGAGCAGAAAAAAAGGCAGCTGTCGCAAAAAGACAGAAGGATGCATCAAGTGGGAATATAGTGTGCTAGTTACTTAGGGAAGGGGAAGCTTTCTGACATAACAGTATGAGAAACAATAGAGAAGAATACATGAATCATATCCACTGCATAGCTGCATAACAGGTTATCCATCTTGAACAGGTATTATACAAATATTACCTGCTGTTTTACATGCCTTAACACTGCAACTATAAACATTGCAAAGGCCATCTTTTAACAGTGAAATCTCTGTTTGACAACAGACTACCTATGCAAATGAAAGTCATATTCGGGTTTTCATTAAAAAAAATTTCTACCCTCCCAATAACACATCTCCAGGTGCACAGTAATATAAGGCGTGACACAAATGATCAGAGCTCTTTTGAGTACTTCCAATTGTTTTATTCTTTTGTTTTGCCTTTTAATAACTGTTTTAAATTAAATGCATTGTTTAAATGGGTTGACATCTGGTGCAGAAAGCGTTTGGATTAGGGCTGCAACTAACAATTATTTTGCAAATCAATTAATCTGTCAATAATTTTTCCAATTAATCGATCAATAATCGGATAGCCAAAGGTTCCTTAAAGAAGACTTTTTATGAAATTAACCAAGTTAAACTAAAAATGTTCCACTTCTGGATTGGTTCTGGATGGAGCATATTGACAGGCAAAAACCAATTGTTTATCCTCATAAATGCAAAATGTTTCTATATATATATTTTTTTTTTTTACAATTTTGATATAATTACCCTCTAAGTGGGTTGCTCTGGCAGCTAAAAGCATACTTTACAGTCTCTATACTCCAGTAAACCATTAATCAGTTACAAAATAAGTTTGTTCAATAATCGATTAATCACGATTAATCTGATTAATTGTTTCAGCCCTAATTGGGATTGCCTATAGGAAAACTCTATGGAGATAAAACACAAGTAGGCACATTGTGAGGGAAACTAGGCAGACAGGCACTACACTCCAGTGCTCAAAGCAAGGTGCGACCCATTTTTACATCTTTTTCTACATGTTGAAATTAAAACAAGTTTTTTGATATCTAGTATCTCATGATAAATACCAATTAAGGTCCTTTGGAAAATAGTCAGCAACAGATGTGTAAAAAGTTAAATTGTGAGATGAAGAATCTGACAACAGCAGTGTGCATAAAGCAGTGTACTATGTTTGTAAAATAGTTCTCACATTTCTTTCTCTTGAGGTCTTCACATTCTGACTTTTGATTGAAGCCATAAATGGCTGCGTGCCTGTTCAGTATCATCATCCCTTTCCTTTCTTGGTGTAAACATAAAGCTGCGGCCCAAGATCTGAGTCTATTTGCTATCAGATCTGCTATTATCCTCTTCCTTCACTTTTATCCTGTGTAATTCAGTGCTCCTCTTGGAGTGAAAGATAGACACTACTCCTCCCATTTCTTTTCCTTCTCCTTTTTTTTTTCAGCCAAACCACTGTTAGATTTTACTGCCTAACAAGGATCCAACAGTTTCAGTCCAACATGAGTTGACTAACTCTAAGAAAATCAACAAAAAGGTTTGAGAGGATGCAGTGTTTCTTTAGAATAAACGATTTCCAAGGGTATCATAAAGGATTAGAGGGAAGAGGGAAAAGTATGAACAACTTCAAGTCTAGAGGGAAGTTTGGAATGTTTTCAGAAAATATGAGGATTAGATTTCTTTTAGTATCATTATGTTTTAAACTGCCTACCTCTACTGTTGCTTAATAAAACATTCTCAAAACACAAGCACACGCTGAAATGCCAAACAAGGAACACCTTGATTAACTGTGGTTAGTTGGAGAAGAAAAAAAATTCTCTCGATAATAGTCACAGACAAGCCAACACACACTAAAAAACTTTTTCCACGCTGCTGTTACTGCACCATCCCATGGGTCATACTTAATGGCACTTTTTATGTTTTCTTTCTTCCAAGCAGCAGTGAAAACTAAGCAGAGGGAGCTGCTGACCTTTGACCTACAACTGCAGAAAATATGGAATGCTTATAGAGTGCCGTGTGGATCATGGGAGTTTTTCAGGCTCTGGTTTGCTTCAGTCGACTGAAAAGCTGCATCACTAAACTATCTGGAAAATGACTAGCTGACCTGCTTGGCAAAGGAGCTAACCATTAGATTATGACTCAGAAACAGGATTTTTTTCTATCCAAAAACAGCTCAAAGAGTCGGAGACAGAAGCTGCTTTAATTTGAAGTAGGGAGGAGTTTGAAAATAATGCAGTAGCCAGTCGTCCTTTAAAGTCTAAATTTAATTAAACCAAATGTCCTCATGTTTTCATGTGATCCTGAACATTAGAATGCCAAAACACAACAAACAAATAAACACTTTTTTCAGTTTTGGGAAGTAAAAAAGATTAAATTTAAACAGATGTTTAACTATTGCAAGTATGATAGCATTGTCCATGTAGTAGACAAGGCTAAATATTTAACAGAAAAAGTTATATCTCCATTAGTCAGCAGTGTTCTGAATTTTATTTCAACCATCAACCCAACATTTTCTGCTCATCTAAGATTAGATCACCAGGGTGGGAGGTCAAACAAACCATTCCTGACTTGTTTTCCAGACTACAGTCCCCATCTGTGAGTTTTTAGCTTACCTCAAAGTGAGACACACAAAGAAAACCATTTAAAGGATGTGCAATGGAGACACATTGATTGGATGGCAGAACCTCCAACAGTGACTCCCGTCGTATGCTTATGATTTTGTATTGAAACTAACCTCTTTTGAGAAATACAAAAAGACAGATGTCAAAAATCACTCTGTCTATCTATTGGCAGATGTCAGCAGACAAAAAACACAAGGGACAAGTCTGAGACTCAAACAGGATTGAATTATCTTTGCTTTAAAGTGCATTTGTAACCAAGCAACATTCTGTTTTTTATTTTTGAGTGTGAGTGCAAAGTACTGTAGCAGGATCTGCTCAAATAAGGATTTCTGCACTTAAGATAAACCTGCATGAACCAATATTTAGGAAGAAAAATTCCCCAGTCCTCCTTATATGATCATTGTTTGGCATGAAAACAAACTGCAACTTTAAAAAGACTATTTTTATGCCATTATAAAAGCTTCTAATAACATAAACAATGGTGATAACAGTCAGGTCTTGTAAGGTAAATTAAAGCTATCAAGTGGTTTTAAATTTAGAATAGAGACTTAACAATATAAAGTGAAAGTCACGTATCACTATAAAAATTTTTTTACTTTCTATAACCATAGAGGAAGTTTGAACAATGAACTGATGTGAAATACAGCAGACTGTTACTAAATGAATATACCTGATTTACCAATAAGTACGACACCTCTATAACAGAAAGCCTGAAAGTCTGACATAGAGGAAAAATAGCAAATCTTATTTTGGAAAGTGAGCTTGTATTAGCGATGCAAACAGCAACCTTTAAACAGAGTGTGCACGAGGAGAAATGGGCTTGTGCATACTCTCGCACGCGTTTAATAGCGGGTTCAGGGTTATGCATGTCCATTTTTTTTTCTTTTGTTTATAGGAGAGGGCGGTTCTTTTTAAAAACTTGCAAAAATCCTTCATGTTCAAATACAGTTTGAACATGTTTAGAATAAAGAACTACAAGACTTCCACAAAACACAATGAAATAGGGCCATTTATACAGTGTGATGCTCGCTGAAAACTCTAACATACTAAAAAGGAAGCCTTGTGGTGGTGGGATGATGCGTCATCAATTCGACCAGTGTATTTTTACAGATTTGATCCTTAAAACGACAATGACCCCAAGTACAGCAGCAATTTTAACAATGAACTAAGATCTTGTATTGGTCCAGTCAAATATCAAAAGACTTTTCTGATTCAAAGGAAGAAGTGGGAATCTAAGGCAACACTGTAGCTTTGAGCCACTATGGGCGCCTTCCTCTGTTTTAGAATTTGATAGCAGAAAACTTTGAACCAGCTGATTGAGAATTCATGGAGTTACTTGTAAAGTCAAGGGCTGTGTCTGAAGGTCCGCCCTAACCACTATATAGGGCACTATATATAGGGCCCTATATAGCACCCCATTTTAGATGAGTGTCCGAATGTCTAGTGAATAAAAAAGTAGTGGACTCAAAATTCCCCACAATGCACCTTGAAAAGTAGTGATAATCCATGGTCACTAGAAGAGCAGATATATCCCGGAATGCCTTACGAGGAGAGCTCTCCTCGCAAAGCATCATGGGATCTGTTGTCACAGCGGCCTGCTGTCAGTACTCGACAATGGCGACAAATAAAGATGGCACTGGCACTATGCAGGGAGGCGGAGTTATGTGACCAACGGGGAGTGAAAAGTAGTGATCATTTGTCCGAACAGTCAGTTAACTGAGTTCTCTACAAAGTCCACTATATAGACCCCGCTCTACATAGTGATTGAGGGATTTAGGGGTTAGGGCGGACGTTTTCACACAGCCAAGGTCTCTTTCACCCCCCTAGATTAAATCCTACATTTGAGAACTAAAAAAAAAAAACCATCTGACCAGGGAAGCGACATATCAGCTTGGTTAACTAACACCCCTTTTAACTTAGTTTGCACCTGTGTTTAAGGGTAGCTCAGACTGCCAAAAAGAGGCGCTACAGGTCATGACAGGGGCGTTGCTAGGCACAAAGCTTTACTGGGGCACTGGCCCCCTACCGCATATGCCCCTCCTGCCATACACAAATTCAGACAAGCACACTGCCCCACCCTGATAAATTCCTACCAAAA